GCCGGGCCCGGGCCCGTAGGGCGCTGGGTAGTGCCTCAGCGGGTCCGCATAGCCCGACGAGTAGAGCGGGAGCTGGCCCAGGAAGGACTCCTGCCCGCTGGCCAGAGTGACGGGGAAGGTGGAGTTCACGAAATAGGAACTCATTGGGAGGGGAGGCGCGCACGGCCGCTGCTGCTCCGCCGGGTTTATGATTTGTTGTGTTTTATAGTCCGAGCGCCGCGCCTATTAGTAGTATATCTGAGATTGGGTTTTAGCTGAGGGGGGATGGCGAGGTGCCAGTGAGGGCCAGAAGGAAATACAACCATCTGATCCAACACTGACCAATGGCAGAGGCAGGAATTGTCAAATAGCACCCAGGAGGAGCGCAGCCCGCGCGAGGGACCCGCGCACAAACCTATCAACCTTTTTTCCCCCCTCCTTCTTCTCCTTCTGCTTTCTCTCTCTCCCCAACAGCATAACGCTTCCCCTTCCACCTACGTAGGATCTGCGAAAGAGGCGTCTTGCGAGAGGAGGGAGCACTTCGATTGAGACCACCCCATCCTCCAGTGATTAAATATATCCCTCCCCTCCCCATGCAGGATAGGGAAAAGTTAATTGTGTTTTCAGAAAAGTTAACCCCTGCGTTGCTTGAGCCCCTTCCCTCTAGGGAAGGTGGGTAAATATATCCAAATCTCGAACCTCAATCTCCTTAGGAGAGAACTAAAGGAGAAGGCTTGTTTCTCGGGTTTTGTGTTGATAGAGGAGAGATGAGTTCTCCGCTGATTAGCATCGTTTTCAGAAAGAGACGCGAAGAAGATGAAACCCTCTCCTCGGGTTTTGAAAACCGTTTTTCCTGTTTCTCAGATCTACTGTGTCTCCTCCAAGCCTGGGTTTATTATTTCTGCTTCTCCACCAACTCTTATGGTCTGAGGGGCAGCCCAGAAGACCCAGAAGGCCGAGAATTGGGAGGAGGGTCTGAGCCCAAGCTTCTCTCACTAGCTGTGCGGCTAGGCCAGGAGCTTCTGGGAAGGCTACGGCCACTGCTGCACAAGACGTCTTACCTGGTTCTAGTATGTACTGCTTGGTCTTGGCACAGGAAGGGGGCACTGGGAAGAGGGACTAGTCCTCTCTTCACTTGGGGATAGGGAGAGTAGGGGGAGAGACATCCCCCAGCCTAAGTTTGTCTGACCCCTATCTTGCCTGCAACCCTCACTCCATCCCACCTCCTTCCCCAAAAGACATTAGAATACGCTGGGTGACAGAATCTTAGGAATCAAAGATGTTTCAGTAAGTCTGGGTACAGGGAAGAAATTTTTCCCTCTCCAGTTCTAGGTCCTCAAACCCTCCTGATATAGGAGGCAATCAGAGAACACAGGGAAGAGAGGGGGCCCTCACTCCTTTTCAGGTCTCTCTAGAAGCTGGCAGTTCTTTTTAAAATTAATTCTTTCTCAAGACTTGAGTTTTGTTCAGTTTTATGGGGGGGGCCTCCTGAGGTCTCAGTAGGCAGCTTACAACGTATCATTCTGCATCCCCTCTCCAGATACTTGCCACCCTTCTGTCTGTCTCTCAGCATCTCTGCAACCCCTCCTATAACTCGTGTTTGTATCACCAGCTTGCTGTCTACAAGCTTTGGTGCAAGAGACGGTGTGCATCTCCGACATTCTCTTTCTCCTTCATCTAAGGAAAATGAGTATTAGAGCCAGGCTGGAAGCCTGAGTCACAGTGTGGTTTTAACATTATAATGTGCACATGGAGGCCAGGCAGTAAAGGGTGACAACCTTTAGACCTGGAACAAAGAAAAGGCCAGGGTGTGGGACAAAATCTGATGATGAAAGGGCTAGGCTGACCCTCCTCTGATTTGTTCTCTGGGCTCCTTTTTGTGGGCCAGTTCTGCCCACTGAAGATGGCACAAGACACTAGGAAAAGTGGTAGAGGGCTGAGGTTGGTGACCAAGGGTGGGAACTTGGTTGCTTGCAAAATGGCTTACAAAGCTCCCTGAGCTTAGGACAACTTCTGGGCTGTACCTTCATGGCTAAGTGGCTATTCCTGGTTGCCCCATCAACTACTTCCTACCCTGACTCTATCGGGATTTTGTCGAGATTTAAGAAAATAAACTCAAGCTTCCTAATAATGGAGTCACAAGTGATCCAATCTAGCTGTGATTAGGCCCACTTCTACAGAGGAACAGGAAACTTTTGGGCAGGAGGAGCAAGGTGGGAGAGAGCCTTGTGTATCTCCCTCCTCCTTGCCACGGAGGCCGGGCCTTAGGCCTCAGCCCACCCTGCCTCCTCTCTGGCCACAATGTCTTCATACTAAGACTGAAAGGTGTGGGCTTTCCTGTGAAGCCTGGATGACACAAGATCCAATGAGGGAGGAAGATTTTCCCTGTGATAGAAGCATGAAATAATCTCCTTATCCTTAGAGCTATACCCCCAAATTAACCTCACCTCTGCAGGTTGCCTGTCATGAGATGGAGCCGCAAAAGCAGGGCCTGGGCGCCTGGAGTCCAGCATGAAAGGAAATAGCGCCTCATCGCTCTTATCTAAGCCCAGAGGTATTTATGAGCGTTTATTCGTCTGATCCGTTTGTTTGGGAGAAAGAGCAGGCAGGCAGGGCTGAGCCAGAGGCCGCCTGGTTTCTGGAGCCAGATCTCTAAGAATATGTCTGTGGTTCGATCCACTGCCGTTGTCGATCTGTCTTCAAGGGGAAATATGTAAATGCACAGCAGGCACAGCCACCAGCTGGTTCGGGGTGTCTCTCCCTGCTCAAGGAGAAAGTGTGTATATGGAGAGGTGGATATAAATATGTACCAAGTCTGGAGTACGCACAGGAGGATTGTCTAGAAACCCCACAGGCAGGATTTATAGTTGTAATTTTCTGAGCTGTGAATCTGTGGTCTTGTGGAGGTACACACATTCCAGCTCCCAGGAAAATGTCTAAGTTGTGTTCAATTTGGAAGTAAAAGTCTCCTTTACCGGTAACCTCAGGGAGGGTATTTGCCAGTAGGTATGTGTAGGGGAGGGGGGATTGAGACATTGTCCAGGCTTTCTATTTCCTCTCATCTGCCAAGCTCCCCCCCCCCACACCCAGCTCTTTGGGCTGTGGACACCTTCCCCCACCCCACTCTCAACCCTGGCTGGGGTGGGGTGAATTAAAACATCTCAACCTAGTTCTTCCCCTGGATTCTGTGTGTTTCTCTGGGTTTGGGGAACATTAATGTTCCCAGGGGAGCAGTGTGGCCACTCCCAACCTTTGAGAGCTGTTTAGTAGGGACATTGCCTTAAAATTGGCTGGTCCAACTCGCGGCACAAAAGCATCATTTCCATTATGCAAATGAACGACATCGTCTCTGTTCCGGGAAGCAGTGGCGCTCTGTTCCCTCTCCCTGGGTCCACCAGCACCAGCACCATAAGAGCTCTGAAGTGTTTCATCCCTCTGTACCAGCCGCCTTCCCCTCCCTACCTGTCCTTCGCTTGCCTGAAGAAAAAACCTCCGAGGGGCCCAAGACTTTTCAGGCGTGCTCCCCTGGGGCCTCTCGCACTGGGCTGGCCTTCTAGCCGCCAGAAAATCATTCTCTGCTGAAAAGCTGAAAGGACTGCTCCTGCTGCCCAGACTCTCGGGGCACCGAAGCCTAGAGGGGTCGCAGCCCCCGCATTTGCTCCCAGTACCGCTGGGCCCCTCGACCTCGGCAGCTCCTCCAACTCCGAGCCAGACCCTAGTAACACCTCGGCCTGCCTGGCACCGCAGGCAATTTCCTGGAGCCCCCGCCCAGGAACTGGGGCCACAGCACCTTGAAAGGAGCGACCAGAGCTTCCTCCTGCAGCTTGAAAGCCCGAGCTAATCAGTAACCCGTGAGACAGGGGCCAATATTCAAAGGCGGCGGCAGCGGCGCGTACCCCCGCCCTCGCCACCCCCTTCTGGGAAAGCAGTCGGCTTAAGCGGGTGTGAGGGGTCCGGCAGGAACGGAAATTACAATGGCTTGGTTCCTTAATGATTGATCCCCACTCCCACTCCCCATTTTTTCCCCAAAGCATATCTGTGTCGATTTCGCCTGAAACGATCGGGAATGGGGAAGGGGACTCACACTCACTTGCTTACACCATAGTTTCCCGAAAACTCAGCTCAATTCCTTCACCACAGACTCACCGGCCAAGAAACTGGCAAGACCCACTAGCCAACACGGAGAACACAGACCCGGTTTGTCTTTTGACAACCGAGTGGAACTGCCGGGTTCGGCGCCTCCCCTGCTGGCCCCCACCCTTGGCCGAAAAGAAAACCAAATAAACCTTGAGCAGTCTTGGCCTGGTATCTCCCTAGCGGCCCTGGTGATCCCCTCTTGCGCTTTGATGGGGTAGAGGGGAGAGGGCTCTCATTCTGATTTCCCCTCAACCCTTTGATTCAGGGCCCCCTGCCTGCCCGCGGGATGCAGCATTAGTCCTTTTAAAATATACCCTAGAAAAAGCCGCTTCCCCCAGCCAGCCGCTAGGTTTGGCTCTGGGATGCGGCTGCCAAGGGGGAGAGAACATTTGTTCTTGAATCCACACGCGGGCAGGCGAGAACCAAGATCCAGCAGAAAGCAACAATCTGGGCCGAAGCCCCCAGAATCCCGCCGAACACGAGCGGCGGGGCCTCCGGGTTCAGGCAGTGTCGCGGGGCTTGCGGAGCCAAAGCCGCATGTCTCCAAACGGACGGTAGATGGCAGCAAACCGCATAATTTGGGTCAGAGCAAACTGTCAAAGGGATGATTTATGCCCCGCCAAGACTACAGGAGAAAAAGACCTTTAGTCTGGGTGGGTTTGCGAAATTTTTCGTTTTGAGAATAGGCTCTGAGTGCCGTGGGTGCTGACCGAGAACTTCTCTCGATACACAGCCGAGGGCGGGGGTACGCGCCGCCCTCGGCGCGCTTCAGGCACCCATTCCGGGCCTGCTTCGAGGGCAGCTACCTGTGCCTCCAGGGGCCCCCCTTCCACGCCACAAGTGGCTGCGTCTCTCTCTTCCCAGCTCAAGACAGACGTCCAGGATCCCTCTACACACGCCCAGACCCCATAATCCCTAGGCAGACAGAGGCCCGAGGCTGAATGCTCTGCATCTGGTCTTTAAAAAGAGGAAAGCAATTACCTATTCCTTCAAACCAAACTAAATCACAGTCTCTCCTGCCCTTGGCGCCCAAATACACTTATCTCTAGACTCACAGCTTCCCCAGAAGCCCTCTCACTCTATTTTTAAGTCCTCACCTAGCAGCTTACACCTTCTTCCACCCCACCAGCTACTTTAGGAATCTCAGCCTCCCGCCCAAAGGTTCTTCTCCCCCACCCCCCAGGAGGCCTGGCTGGGGAATGAATCAGGCGCCGGAGGGACAGGACTAGGTGTCTGAGCTCAGTGCCAGGCAGCTTTCCAGTCTGGATACATTCAGGTCCCCTAATGGGATTTTCTTTTAATTGTTTTTTCTCTCTTTTTTCTTATTTACAAGCCTAAAACAACAACATGCTAAACAGCTCCTTCACAATCACCACATTTAGATCCAGGAAAGTTTGAAATGTTTCCATATCAGATGCACACTTTTCTCCTGCACCGAAATCCACACACCTCATACCAATAGACACAAATATTAGAATCAATATTGCACAGAAACCAACACGCTGTAACCTACCGCATTAAAAACCACAAAATTGTCTCCCTGCAGAGCGAGGCTCCCTCCTGCGGGAGTGGCGAAAGACCTGGCATTCTCAGGAAGGCTTCCTGGGGGGCTCTCCCTTTATTTGGGTGCCTCCACCCATAGCCCTTTAATTTCAGAAATGTCTCCGAAGGGAGATAATGAGTATTTCTCTGTGAATTGTTCTTTCTGTGTCTCTCTAGCCACCTCCTCACCCTCGCTGGCCTCTGCGGAGATTCCAGGCCCTCCAGAGACCAGGACGTCCCTTAGTACCACCGCCCCTCGTGCCAACGCTGCCGGGAAACCACTGATACGATACTGGAAACTCGCACCGGGCAAGAGAGCTGCATGGGGGCAACCGGGGGAGGCCGGAACAAGGGAGGGGTGGTGGGAGGGGGAGGGGCACAAACCCACAGAGGCCGTAGCAACCAGCTTCTACCAGCGCCCCAAAGCTCAGACACCCCATCCTCTCTTTCCCAGCCCCCTGGCTTAAACCTCTCCTCCCAGCTTAAAAAGGCGCCTTAGAGCTCGCCTCTGTGGCCCCTTTCGGTTCCTCCTCCCGTCTTCCCTGCCTTGCTCCCCCTCCTGGAAGCAGCCACCCCTCTCTCAGCCACCGAATTTCCTGGGAAGCCTCTCCCTGCAGCGCCCAGAGGTGGGGTTCAGCCCCGTCTTGGGGGTTGGGGAGGAGAGAGACAAACATAAGCCCCACCCCCTACAAAATCGAAGCAAAACTATAAGAAGAGAATTGTAGAATATCCCTTACCTTTGCAGACCCTGGGGTTTCTTTCCTCCGATTGAAAGAGGTGGGGAGAAAGAGGAGGGAAAAAAAAAAAAGAGCGTTCTGTTTCTTCTTCATCTTCCAGATAATATTGTCCCAACCTGAGAGCCGTTGTTTCCCCTTCTCTGAGTTGAGAGAGAGGGTGTTTCGCTTTTCTGATATTTGCATAGAAAATGGAGTAAGTTCTGGCTTTGAAAAATGGTATCAGGCTGCAGTCCTGGGCAGATTGTCCTTTTACCCTCCATGATGACTAAAATCCCAAATTAGCAAGAAAATTAAGTTAGAAATTAAAATTATTTTTGGTTCTCTCTTTTGTGTAATTCCCACCCCTCCTTCTCTCTCTCTCTCTCACTCCCTCTCTCTCTCTTCTTTCTCTCTCTCTCTCGTCTTTTCCTCTCTCTCTCTTGCTTTATCGAGCTGATACTGAAGTATAAAAATATCAAGAGGCTGGAGCCCTGAAGGACGACAGTGCTCCGACCTAGGTGTGGTGTCCAAAAGAATGCTGCATTATAACCACCAGGGAAATGATAAAAAGTTCATGTTCACGATCGCCCGGCCACATGACCGGCGCTGGCCAATCGCTGGATTCAACCACTCATAAACTTCTATCACAAAGTTGTAAATTTTCATAAAACAACAAGGAATTTATTGCATTTCTTCATGGCTGCTCCACCAGCAACCCTTTTCTCAGTCGCCATCTTCTTTTCTTCTCCTTCTCGATTTTTGGGGAAACCCCAATCTGAGGAGGGGTGAGATTTGGGGTGCAGGGAATCAGGCGGAGGAGACACAAGCATCCATCTGGGAAGGGGGGCTCTTTTTGGAACCTCTCTATTCTCACAGGAGCGCTGTCCCCCATTCTAGTAAAATTCACCCCAAAACCTCCACATAGGGACTGTTCTAAGGCAATTTGGGAGTGAATCTGGAGCAGCACCCAGTGTCCAGGGTTGCCACTTGTATTAGGGCAAAATGAAAGCCTCAGTGCCCCCTTTCCCCCTCTGAACACCCCCTTCATTCCCAGTCTTATAAATAGCGGGCACCCCACCAGTGAGGCTTGTAGCATTGCGGGTGTAGAGGCTTTAGATCCCCTAGGGCCTAGTTTTTGCTCCGGGAAGAAAGGTGGCCCCAATGGAGGCCAAGGCGAACAGTCTAACCACCAGATTGTCACCTCTGCACCTCAGAAATTGGAGGAGGGTAAAGCCGGACCCTGGTCTCTCCCGCCCAAATGTCCATACACCCACGTTCTCAGGGACAACTCCCTGTGCTTTCTGGGGGGTGGGGTGGTGGTTCAGTAGTCATTGACGGGGGAAACTGCAGGTTTTGGAGCCTTTTACTTGCAAATTCAAATTAAGCATTCTCCTTAAATTCGCTTCCTTCCAGCCCTCTTCCCCTTTTTTGTCTGGTCGCCTGTTCTTTAAATTTAAATAGTTCAGGGTTTATAATCGAATAAAGACTAAAAATCAGCTCTGCAGGTCTAGCTGTAGGCGCCACCCTCCCGGTTTTTCTCCCTCAATCAAGGGGATGTTTTAGAGCAAAACAACGGCCACCAAAATTCACCCCGTGTTTCCCAGGTACCCTGAAATACTCCCGTATTTTGAATTAGGCTACCAGTGCCCAAAAGCAGGAAAGG